GTGGGTTCACTCTTCCTTTTCATGGGTTTCAGTAAGCAAAATATCAAGAGGAAATGTCTTGCTTTTACTGAAAGGACTCTTACTGCAAGTGGTGAAATCAAGCAGAGAGGCACCCCAGCTCCTGCAGGGACCACATATGAATATGGAATATAAGAAACAGTGCAGAGGATCATAGGGGAAGGGAGGGAAAACTGAATGGGAAGAAATCAGAGAGGTAGACAAACCATGAGAGACTCTTAACTATAGGAAACAAACTGAGGGTTACTGGAGGGGAGGTGCGTGGGGGGATGGGGTAATTGGGTGATGGGCATTAAGGAGGGCACGTGATGTGATGAGCACTGGATGTTATATGCAACTGATGAATTACTGAATACTACATCTGAAACTAATGATGTACTATGTGTTGGCTAATTGAATTTAAATTTTAAAATAATTACTGAATTTTTTCTATTGGATAATGAAATATGTCAATATTTTGAAGATTGGAATAATTCTGTGAACCAATGCATGGCATTACCAGATCATGCTTGAGTGAAAGATCCATGCCAAGTCAGACCAATGGATTTTAACGTAACTGAGTTCAAGAAGTTTATTTATATGATTTTAGATTCCACATTTCTACTAATCTTTAAGAAACTACTTGTAAAATTTTGGTGTAATACCAAAGAAGAATATCCAAAATAATTTCCTGTGAAGACTATTAAAATACTTATCTTTTTCCAGTTACAGATCTGTGTTAAGCTGTATTTTCTTCATATGCTTCAACCAAAACAACATAACACAATGGATTGAATCTAGAAGCAGATATGAGAATCCAGATATCATCTATTTAGCCTAAAGACATTTGCCAAAATGTAAAATGCGGGTTCACTCTTCCTTTTCATGGGTCTCAGTAAGCAAAATATCAAGAGGAAATGTCTTGCTTTTACTGAAAGGAATCTTACTGCAAGTGGTGTAATCAAGCAGAGAAGCACCCCAGCTCCTGCAGGGACCACTGCCTGTCCTCTCTCCCTGAGGAGCCTCCCTTCTGGTCTGTGCTGCGCAGTCATGGAGGGTCTGTCACCTAGTCTAGGGGCAACAGCTACTAAAGTGACCTCAGAGGATGGTTCTCTGATGGTTAGGTGACAAATGGATCTACCACTCCTGTCTCCAGAATACAAGGTTCTCTATTGGGTTGGTTTTGCAGTATCTTCAGAATTTGGAGGCTGCCACTCAGGATTTCTCCCGGTCAGTCAAAACTAGTGAGACATTTGCTCATCCAAATGTTAGTAAGCCGGGGATGGGGAGTCAATTATCAGCTGGACTTCAGGAGGCAGGGAGGAGCTGGACCTGGATGCGGATGTCTGTGCCCTCAGTGGTGTTACACTGGCGCAGCAATGGAGAGCAAGTTATCACCTGAGAGACAGCAAGTTTACAGAGGGTAACAAACATGACCTCCCAGGCCCCCATGTTGATTAACTTTCTCTCCTTCCATGGATTTGTCAAAAACTGAGCAGAGCTTGTATTTTCTGTATAAATTTAGGTTGCTTAGAGTGTGAGAGAGAAAGGACTTCTAGAAACCAGCTAAGTGTTTAGCAGATTACAGAACAGTTTCAGGTTCTCCACTCCCTTCCCAGATAGATTTGTGTTCCTAAGGTTAGAAGTGTAGGCAGCTTATGGACTGAAATATTGCCTACTATACAAAGACATCTGTATGATACAGGAGAGGACAGACTTCTCTGTCAGTCCTCAACCTCTTCAACCTGCCCCTGGAAGAACAGAACAGGCATTTAGTCCTCCTGTTTGAGCTTTTTTGGCAGAATATACGTGAAAATATTCAGTGTCACTAAATTTTGCTTGAGTATCTCTTTGCCTAACACTGATTGACTCTAAAGACACAACAATTAAAGAAGGGCAAATATTTACACTGCAACTCATTTGGATAGAGAAACTGCATTTAGGCTATTAATTAACCTGGTATTTCACCCAAGGCACTAACGTCTGGTTATCTGGGGAAAAAAAATAACATTAAATCGCCTTTAAAGCTTCTTCCAGTAGGATAACATGGATTAGGTAAGAATATTTGACTGGCCTAAGTGTTGTCTACATTACCCAGGATCCTAAGGAATCATGAAGACCAGACACCAGTAATTAGCACAATATGGTGTTTGTTTGTTTATAGATGTAAAGGGAGTAATATTTGTAAAAATGTAATGTGATTTTTCTTTTCAGTCTACCCCATATAGGACTTTAACCCCAGTTTACCCTAGGAATCCATTTATCTGTGAGGATATTAGAATTTCTTTCAAAAGTAGTACAAAAAAGAAAGAATAAGCTGTTTCTGTTATTCAGAACGAGGATCATGCAGAAGAAAAACAGAGTCATAGACTATTGTCTTGAAAGAAGATTTCCCAAATTCTGTCATCTTTGCCTTTTATTTATAAAAGGTTGATCCCCAAGGCTCCCAACTCCTAGTGCTTTACTGTAAGGCAAGGAAAGCATCACTTCTGACTAGGAGAACTTGGTATGCTCTATGGTGGTGTTTCTCACCTGGAGGGATTTTGCCCCCAGAGGAGACTAGGTAGTATCTGCACACATTTTGGTTGTCATAACTAAGGGGGTTGTGCTACCAGCATCTAGTGCATAGAGACCAGGGATGTTGTTCAACATCCTACAATACTCAGGCAGCCCCTGCCACACAGACTTTTCTGGCTCAAAAGAGTAATAGTGTTAAGACAGGTTGAGATCCTGCTCTAGGACAAAGGTGCTCAAAGTGTGGTCCTCAGACCAGCAATATTAGTATCACCTGGGAACTTGGTAGAAATGCAAATCCTTGGGCCCCACCCCAGATCTACTGAACTAGAAATTCTGGGAATCGAGCCCAGCAATCTGTGTTTTAACAAGCCCTCCAGGTGGTGCCCACACTAAGGCTTATGCTCTATGGAAGTCAGAGGCTATGACACAGGACCACAGATCCTTTCCAGCTCTGGGTGATGGTGGGTGGGGAAACAAGAGATAGAAGAAAGAAATCCTGCTGCCAGCTTGCTCTTTCCTCCTTGGCAGGTTTGGACTGAGAGACGTGGCGGTGGAGTGGAAAGTGAAGGAAGGACCAAGCAGGGAGATCATGCTCTCCGACTCCTTGGGCTGTGGAAGTCCTGGTCCACATGGGTGCTGCTGGTCCCCGGCATTTGCAGATGCAAAGAGTGGACTCAGGATCTTGATTCTGGGAGGAATGCAGCCTCTTGTACAACTGGCCTGAAGTCTGGCTGTGATTCCTTCTGGTCTTGGCTTACAAGCCTCAACAGCTCCTGATGCAGTGCCAACTCACCTTCATGGTGACCCACTCCCCCAAGTTTCCCAGAAGCCTGTCAGCTAACCCCAGGGCCAGTTTATACCATGCTGAAATTTGCAGCAGCTTTAGAAAGTGAAGTTCCACAGATCTCCCCTCTGCCTGCCCAGGCAGTTGATGCATCTCCGACACTTAAATGGCTCCCTGTGTTCTCATTATGGCTCAGAAGGTTTGCAGTGCCCAGAGGACAGGGAGTACAACATGGACTCAAGAAGAGCTGCATATCAGGTACCAAAGGTGGTAGCCAGAAGGTGGATAAAGAATAATAAGGTGATAAGGAGGCACCAGACCAGGCAGTTGGTGTCATGAGCTTCAAAGAAGCAGGGCTTTCCCCTGACTATGGAAAAGCCAGTGGTATAGTATGGAATGAGCACTGAAGGGTAAAAGGAAAATACATTTTTTTTAATACACTGAAAACACAAAGTGTATATGAACTGCATTAATGTTTACATTTTATTTGATTTCTTCGAAAGATCACTTTTGCTTCAAATTTACATTTGTGGGGTCAAGTATTCTGAGCATCTCATTTTTTCAGCATTTTATTTGGTGGTCAAACAGCCTTTATTGTAGCAATATGACAAGGGGTATGCACTAAGTAGGTCTATTTTGTTATGAGCAACAGAAAAAGGTTAGCTAACCTACGCCAAAAGAGGAATGTACTAGCAAATTAGGAAGAGGATGGTAGACTCGAAGCAGGGACTGGGTAAGTGGAGAAGCCAGGGTAGTTCCAGCAACGTGTCAGGACGAAGAGGTTACTCACAGCCCCGCTGTTGAAGTGACTCATCTCAATCAATTTCCTACGTTATGTCATAATACTCAAGATTCAATATCCTGGAAAAGAAAGTCTGATTGGTCTACTGTACATCATATGCCCGCCCCTGGCAGAGAAGGACAGTTGCAGGTGGGAAGAAAGGGCAGCGTGATTATCAGTCCCACAAAGATTCTAATGAAGGGGACAAGGGTGATTCTCCAAAAGGACATCTGGATCCTGCTACCAACATGAGGATCAGGGAGGCTGGGCACACAGACACCGGTCATCCACTATGGGCAGGCAGACTCTGCAACCTTCTCACCTGTGGTAACTGGGCCATGCAGTCCCTCCCTTTGGCAACCTGAGAAACAGGACTAGGAAAAGTGCCTTGGGATGATGAAACATGGCAGCACAAGAGAGAGCAGTATGAAGCATATTTCAGAAAAGGCAAGAAGTGCAAAATGTTGGGACCTTGGTTTACAATAAGGGAGGGATCCAGAGAGCACAGTGGAAACATCTGTAAGGAAGGGAGGCCCAGGGAGTTGGGTTAAGGCTGTTAGAGGAGTGAGCTAGTCAGGTCACTTGGAAATGGGAAGTGATGAGTAGAGCCGTGCCAGGTCTAAGAGAAAACCTGGCTATCATGCAAAGGCAGTGAGGAAGTGCTCAGGTTCCTGGGAGATAGTAGCTCAGCTAGAAAGACCCAGAAGGATTGTCTGAGAGGCTGCAAATTTACCCTCCAGAATACCATACCTAGATGAGATATGTTTGTGAAGTGGATCTCCAGGCCAGGTTTAAATTCCTCAAACACAATGATCTGTAAAGAAGGAGGTTGGGTGGCCATGAGACTCAAGTTCTGACTTTTTGCAAGGCAAAGGCCAAAGGAAGTGGACTGGGATGAGGGAGGTGTGGGGCGGAGCTTACCTCATTTGATCCAGGATGAAGCCAGGGTCCTGGAAGGTAGAGGGTCTCCTGGGGACCTATATTCCAGTAGCGTCCCAGGTTTCGTCCATTGATGAATATTACACCTTTTGTCCAGCCCTGAAAGAGATTGGAATGAAGGATTCTTGAGTCCTGGGTAAGTGGAGAAGCCAGGGTAGACCTGACATCTAGACCTGAGTTCTAGATGTAATGACACTAGGGTGAAAACACACACACACACACACCCCATAAACGCACCTGATCAGAGTCATAATCACACCTAGATGGAGTGGATTACCACACATGGCCTTAAATGGAAGGTTACCTGGACAGGTCTATGTTATTGCCCCTGGCCTGGGGCTGGCTCAACACTCAGGCCTCAAGAAGGAAGGTACTGATTTCTAACTCATCTGTGCCAAGTCAGGGAAGGGTCTTTCCATTGACCATCAGGCATTCACCAAAACACGCTGGGCCCAAAGCATAGTTTGAGTTGTAGAATTTTGGGTTGGCCGTACATGTACATTAAAATCTCAACATCCCCACCACAGACTGGATGTGTGTCTTAAAGGGGTTGAGGGTCTCAATGTCTTGGATTATGTCTGGGGACAAGTGGATCACACTCACTAAATTCTTCATGCACTAGATTCTACAGCTGTCCCCACTAAAATATACTACTTATGTCTTTGTTGCATTTGTTAAGCTTCCACCCCTCACCCTTGTTAACACCAGGGAAGGGACGGCCTCCAGATAGCTGTGGAGTGGCTGATGTCCCAGGGAGCTTACATTTCCTTTCACAGGACAGGGCCCATGTACGAAGGAGATTTTTCCCAAATATCCTTTTGGGATGGGGGCCGGGGGGATGGGCAAGGGAGAAATATCACTAACCTCCATTTTTATGAAGGTGTCTCTGGGGTAATTACCCATTCTCAGGATACCAAGGAAGAAGGCAGGGCCCCGATGTTTGAATAAGGCTGGTTTCCAGATGTTAGGAAGGTCCCTAAGAGGGAATCAAACACCAGTAGAAAGGTCATGCCCTTCGTTGTGTGTCAGTTGTGAATTTTAAGGTAAGTCTCCTTTTTGCCCAAGCCTGACATTCATCTTATAGCACAGGCACATGCCTTGAAGGGGGCATAATGCAGAAAAAAACAAACAAAAAATCAGCAGACCAGGAGTTGGGTGAATGAGGGGAGGGTCACCACTCTGCCCCAGACAACTATGAAACTTGGGGTCATTTCCTTCAACACTGTGGATCTCACCTCTCATCTGAAAACTAAGGAGGTTAGTCTGGATGGTCTCTGAGCTTCTTTCCATCTCTAAATCAGAACCATCTTTGATCAGTCACCTTGAGTCAATGATCTGGCACCCACCTTTGTAGAAACTGAGTTTTCATATCCAGGCTATAGATTTTAAATTTTCTTAAAGGAAAATTGTTCAGATAGATATCCCCAATTAAACCTGTAAAAGAGGGAATAAAAGGAACATGAAGAAGGCAAGCAGGGATGTGAACACAGAGATGTAAACAGGCTGTGGCCAGGACTCCCCCTGAAGGAGGATGTTTTCCTGTCCATATCAGATGGAAGGTTTCTGCAAAATCTTACAACAATTCTTCCTTCTGTTATACATGTACACTTCTTAGAGTGTGCCTGTATGTCCCACATTAACAGTGCAAAAGTCACAGCACATCCTGCCAGGTCTGGCCAGAATAGCAGTTCAGGCTACCTTTAACTCTCAAGGTAGGTCAAAGCACTCGGAGCAGGGGAAGGAAGGTGTGTGTGACTCTGTGCCCAGGAGCCCAGGGGGAGGTGAGGACACAGGCACTGAGCTCCAGAGAAGGAAAAATAAAAGTTCCCAGGGGGGGATACTAATCATCTTTTTCTATAGCTTTCTTCAAAAACCTCCTGGAAGGAGGGGAAGAATGAAGGGGAGTAAGTCGGAGGGGGAGACGAACCATTAGAGACGATGGACTCTGAAAAACAAACTGAGGGTTCTAGAGGGGAGGGGGTGGGGGGATGGGTTAGCCTGGTGATGGGTATTAAAGAGGGCACATTCTGCGTGGAACACTGGGTGTTATGCACAAACAATGAATCATGGAACACTGCATCAAAAACTAATGATGTAATGTATGGTGGTTAACATAACAATAAAAAATTATTAAAAAACAAAACAAAACAAAAAAACAAAAACAAAAAAAACCTCCTGGAAGAGGAAAGGCAGTGCTCTGGCTTGGTCATTAGAGAATACACTTGAGGGAAGGCACCATCATCCTTTCCCATCAAAGCAAGATTTCATCATAGTTTCTACACATGGCTATTTCATTGGCCAAAAGATCCTGCTGTCCACCAAATCATACACCTGGCCATGACTGTTCTCAGCCTAGGATAAGAGCGAAAAGAATTTGGTGTCTCAAGGTCTCAAACTTCTTCACCCTTGGAAGGAAGGAGGCCTACCTTTTCTCTCCTTATTGATATCCTGCCCATAGGCAAGGCGGCCTTGATTCTCCACCAGGATCCTCAGTGTTGGGTTATTCTGGTAGACCTGTCCAAGACAGACGAGCCAGAGTCAGTACCACTCAGGGAACTTTTCTGTAGACCTCTTAAGTCTCCTCTGAAACTCAGATGACGTTGTAAGCAGGGTGACTGACATACAGCAGGCTTCAGAAGCCTACAGATGTCCAGCTCCGGGTCAAGTAAACCCTTGGGCCCCTCTCTTCCTACTCACCCACCCTCACCCCCACCCCCATACTGGGCCTTTCAGAAAACAGTCACTCGAACATTTCACAAGAGATTATTGAGGCAGGTGACAAACCTAGAGTTTTTTGAGCATCAAATATCCAACATGTTGAAGTTCTACTCACCCAAAGCATATACACCTATACTTTAGAAATACATACAGCTCTCCTGCATCTGTGTTGGGCTCTTATGCAAGGAACATTCCAAAGGACAGTGGAAGAGAAAATAAGCTATCACAGGGCAAGGCCACCCTTACAATTAAGCCTGGGCGCTGAAGTATTAGTCCATCAACACTGGATTACATACCATTTTCCTGGGAATAGTCAGCTGATTAGTGGAATGGTCCAGGACCCCTAAAAACTCCTCATCCAAAAACACCTGCCAAAGAAAGAGGAGAGCACCATTAGGTTGTGATAAGGAAAGGGATAAAATGGTCCTTGGGAAAGCAAAGAAAAGGCAAGTTCTAGGGGAATGATTAACTCTGTCTCCTAGAATATTACAAGCTGACTATGAATCTACAAAAATACAACAGATTCAGAGCAGTACAGTCATGAAATGTATAAGGCAAAGTCCAGAGAAGGATGTCCTGATACCAAATCTGGGCCTGGCTGTACTATAGGGCAAGGAGGGAAAAACAAAATTTAAAGGACCTACAGGCAATGAGGGAAAAAGGAAGGTAGAGAATGAATGGATATTGTGAAAGAAGTAATGGCCACAGGGAAGATGGGGCTCCAGGTGCAGGAGGCATCTGCCTGCCTGGCTGGCATGGCTTCGCTCCCATGCAGTCTTCCAGGTTTCCCCTGACCCTTATCAGAGGCTGCTGCCACCACTAATTCTCATTTTAAGAATGACCTGGACATAAATCCTTTTCTTTTCTGTTACCTATTCTATTGCTTTAGGCTCAGATGAAGTCGCCCAGAAGAACCTGCTCTAACCATGCAGGACCACAGAAGGATACATAATTGGCCCCTTAGATTATTTGAGTCAGGTCATAATTTTCAAATGAAATTTGACCAGGAAACTATAAAAATTAAAATCCACAAATATTAAAAACACAAATATTAATACTATACAAAACACAGAATTCATATTTTAAGCTATTTAGAGTCTAATTACAAGGCTTACATACTCTAGAACCATTTGTTGAACACCTACTGAATGGCTTGGGCAAGGGGTCACCAAGCTTAAAACACAACCCCAGCCATTGAGGAACTCAGAGAGTGACACAAAGAAATTATTAGGATACTCCACAATAGCTAACATGGAACTGTGACCAGAATGCCATGGAAGCACAGGGAAGGGAATGGCAAGTCCTGATCCACAGTCAAGTCCAGGTTATTTGGCGAACATGATGACAGGTGACTGGGAAAATCAATGGAAGACTGTAGACAGTGGAAGTGGCACGCTGAGAATTTTCCTTTGGGAAGGAAACTGGTGGCACTGTGAGGAAGGGATTTGGCAAGGAGGAGAGGAAAGGTGAGCTATCTGAAAAAGGAAGATCAGCTATGAGGCTCTAACAGTAATAGAGGCAAGAGACAAAGGCACTTCTAAGGCCATGGCGGCATGGATTTTGAGAGAAGACCCACTGAGTAATACTGTAGCCAGCATGTGCCCGCTGAGAATAAGGTGTGAAGAGAAGATGAGGGGAGCAGCATTTTCAGGGGGGGAGGCTGCAAGTCCATGAATGGATGTGAGGAGTACAGGATGAGGTTTATTTTGGAAGGTAACGAATTTGGTTTTGGACATGATGAGTGTAAGAAGCCAGTGGAACATAGGTCTAAGTGAAGAAAAATGTTCAGCAAACAAGGAATCTGGGTCTGCAGCTCAGGAAAAGAAGGGGAGGGTTGGAGTCACCATCAGGAGTGCCTGAAACTTGGGGAGAAGATGACACAGACAGCACAGAGAGGGCTTTTAGCAAGAGAATGTCACCAAGACCTGAGGAAACTCTGCCAGCTCTTAACTTGGAGTGAGATGATGAAGCCTTTACCCTCAGCTCTGCTGCTTTCAAGTCAAATGTCCTCTGAAAGTCATTTAACTTCTCTGAGGTTTTCTCATTTGTAATAAATATCTTAGATGGGTGTTTTGAGAATTGAATGAGAGTAGCGGATTGTAATGTAGGGATTGCTGTGCAGTAAGTAGAGGGACTTCTGAAGCTCCTCCCAAGTCTCCTTTAAAGAACTCCATCAACTCCCATAAGGGTTCAATGAATACCCCCCCTCCCTGCGAACTACTATAAACCCTGGACCTACGACAACAGTGGCTTCCATATCAAATATTTCCCTGAAGGGACAAAGGTTAGGAAACAGTGATGATTTTTTGAAGGTGAAAAGATTTGACCATCATTTAGATATTCACCTCAGCAACACCACTGGGTTTTACTAGCAGAGAAGTGCCACTGGGACCCATCCACCGTCCCTTACCTGACCTCGATCTTGAACATGACCCTTCGTGGTGAGGAGGCCACTGGTGGTGACCACAGTCTCATAAAGTATGTATCCAGAGGACTGACCATTCCCCTGGTTCACGGACAGCTTCTCCATGCAGATTGGCTTGACAGAGCTGATGGGCTGTGGCAGAAAGAGGAACAAACCAGGCTGAATGTTCATGCTGGAGAGACAAATTTCAGAAACCCACAACCAAAGCCCACTTCTCCAGAGGAATTGCCCCAAGAGTCCTTTTTAGTTTTCCAAACCAACTTCATATTTCTCTGCATGTGCTAGACAGTAATGTATTCTTATTTTTCAGATGGAAAAGCTGAAATCAAGGAAAGGGAATGATTTGTTAACTTGCTCATCAATTCATGATAGAGCCTGGACTAGACTCCTGATTTTAGGAACTCCATGCCAGGTGTGCCAAATTCTGTCTATCCGTGGTCTTTTCTTCTTGTTCCTTCATACAGTAAGAGAAATCATCCTAACCCATGGTCTGACCGTGGCTATTCATGAATCTGCCTATCTAACACTGACCTAAAGCACTCGATGTCTGCTAACTCCCATGTCTGTTAGACTTCTCCTTCTGAAGATCCCTAAATGATTCCAATGTAGTATCTCCCAAACTATATTTACCACACTTCCCCATCCTACTCTTTTTCCTTTCCAAAGAGCAACACCAACCATCCAGTCAAAAAGGTAAAAAGCATAGACAATGTCTCTTCCTCAATATCCCCAATCAACCAGTCGTCACCTCCTTTAGAGTCTGACTCTAAATATCTGTTTCACTAATCCTTCTTCACTCCCATTACCTAAGCTCAACTTCAGTAGATTTTTATTCATTTTCAGTGTTCTAGCATGGTCCCACTCTACTCCATCCCCCATACAGCTACCAAAGAAATCCTTCTGAAATGCAAAGCTGGTCATCTGATTCCCAAGCCATGCTTTAAAATAGCTTCCCACAACTTTCAGGGAAATGTTCAAATCTCTTAGCATAAAAACACGGCCTGGGGCACCTGGATGGTTCTGTCGGTTAAGCATCTGCCTTTGGTTCAGGTCATGGTCCCAAGGTCCTGGGATCGGGCCCTGCAGCAGGCTCCCTGCTCAGTAGGGAGCCTGCTTCTCCCTGTACCCCTCCTCCCACTCATGCTTGCTCCCTCTCTCTCTCAAATAAGTAAGTAAAAATTTTAAAACACACACACACACACACACACACACACACACACACACACACACACGGCCTTTCAGACTGCCTTGGAGAAATACAGGATTCCAAGTCTGTGGAGCCACACAGCCTGAGGCATGCTGGAGGACAAAGAAGATATCAAAAGCTACTCATGTCAAGAGGATGAGAGGACACAGGGGCCAACTTAAAGGAGACAGGACAATCTGAATATCAAAAGGAATGACTGCAACGGGGTTGAAGCATGTTAAATGTGTTTACAAAAAAAAGTGTGAGTTTTCAGGAGGATCTTGGGGAGACAGAGTCAGAAAAGGATTCTGACCTCACCTCCTCCCACAGACACTTCAAAGCTACAACTGCACACTGTGCACCTCACTCAGAAAATGACGTGAAGACTGGCAAAACTGACATTCCACAGCTAGAAACATAGAGAAGGCCCACGTTGAGAGGGGGGGGGGGGGGGGGTGGTAAGAGGCAATGGATTCAAACCCCCGGCACAGCAACTCACAAGCAGGAAGAGGATTCCAGGCCTGGAGGTCATCCCTGAGGAGGGAGGGGATCAAGCCCTATATCAGACACCCCTGGTCCTAGAGACTTGTACCAGGAAGAAGTCTGGCTTTGAAAATCAGCAGGGCCTAACTGCAGGAGAATCAAAGATCTATAGGAAACCAAGTGTCTACCTTTATAGAGCCAGAATGCTGTATCACTTGGTCCAAGACCCAGCACAGAGGCAGCAATTTGAAAAGCACGTGGGTTATACATAAAGGAGATTTATTGTCTGGTTTTAGGACATGTGCCTGAGGGGCAGGGATCTGTAGGAGCTTTCTCCTGGAATGGAACTGCTGGTAGGAGCCATTTTTCTTACCCTGCTATAGCCTAACTAGCCCAACTCTTGTGGAGCCATTTCTAACATTATCCATCTACCTTGCTAGCATGGCTTGATCCACCCTGGCATTCTCCTATGGACTGGCTCTGGCAGGCACCCACAGCCAGAGTCCAGAGAACATAGTCCCCCCCCCCAGAGTGACAACTGCCCCCCAACACCTGCTGGGCAGCCTTGGCCTACACCAGTGCCCCTCCAAAGCAACTCGTGCACTGGGGAGGAGAGAGCCAGCCTTGCAATTAATCTATGACAAAAGAGGCAAGAATATACAATGGGGAAGGGTCTCTTCAATAAATAGTGTTGAGGAAACTGGACAGCTACATGGAAAAGAATGAAACTGGACCACTTTCTTATACCATACACAAAAATAAACTCAAACTAGATTGGTTCAGTACCTAAATGTTGGACCCAAAATTATAACACTCCTAAAAGAAAACAGGCTGTAAACTCTTGGACATCAGCCTTAGCAATATTTCTCTGGATCTGTCTCCCCAGGCAATGGAAGCAAAAGGAAAAATAAACAATTGGGACTATATCAAACTAAAATATAGAAAAGGAAACCCTCAAAAAAATGAGAAGACAACCTACTGATTGGGAGAAGATGCTTGCAAATGATATATCTGATAAGGGGTTATACCCCAAATGTGTAAAGAACCTGTACAATCATCATCAAAACAAAATAATTCAATTGAAAAATAGGCAGAGGATCTAAATAGACATTTTTCTGAAGAAGAAATACAGATGGCTAATAGACAAATGAAAAGATGCTAAACTTCATTAATCACCAGGGAATTGCAAATGAAAACCACAATGAGATGTCAACTCACAGCAGTCAGAATGGCTAATATCCAAAAGATAAGAAATAGCAAGTGTTGGTGAGGATGTGGTGAAAAAGGATCCCTCATGCACTGTTGGTGGGAATGTAATTTGGTGCAGCCAGTGTGGAAAACAGTATGGAGGTTCCTCAAAAAATTAAAAATAGAAATACCATATGACCCAATAATTCCACCACTGGGTATTTACCTGAAGGAAATAAAAAGATATATGTGCCCCTAAGTTTACTGTAATATTATTTATAATAGTTAAGATATGGAAGCAACATAAGTGTTCACTGATAGATGAATGACTAAAGAAGATATGGGGTGTATATATATATAATGGAATATATATATATATATAATGGAATATTACTCAGCCATAAAAAGAATAAAATCTTGTCATTCACAACAACATGGATGGACCTAGAGAGTATTATGCTAAGTGAAATAAGTCAGACAGAGAAAGACAAAAACCATGTTATTTCACTTATATATGAAATCTGAAAAACAAAGTAAACAGAAACAGACTCATAAATACAGAGAACAAATTGGTAGTTACCAGATGGCAGGGGGTGGAGGGGCTGAGGAAAATAGGTGAAGGGCATTAAGAGGTACAAAATTCCAAGTATAAAATAAATAAGTCACAGGGATGAAAAGTACAACATAGGGAATATAGTCAGCAATACTTTAATAACTTTGTATGGTGACAGACAGTAACTATGCTTAGTGTGCCGAGCATTTTGTAATGTATATAATTTTCAAATCAGTATCTTGTACACCTGAAACTTATATAATATTGTATGTCAACTATACTTCAATTGAAAATAAAAATTTTTTAAATTATGAGTTTATAATCAAATAAAGACAACAACAAAACAACTCATTGGCCACCCTTGCAAGATATCCAGGAATAAATTCATTATCTGATAAAAGAAAATACTTGAAATTTTGTCCTAACTTTTCTTTACAAACTGTACATTAAGGTGACAAGACAATAGAAAAGGAAAGTTCTGCATAGAAGAACTTCAAGTGTATAAATGAAGAAGGAATGACTGAATACGAATGATACTATTTTAAAAGCCTTAATGAAATACTGGATATAGGTAATAATTGTCAATGACTGCTAAAACCATTAGATAAAAGATTGATGGGAAAATTGATAATGGATAGACTGGGCTAACTACTCCTGAACCCATTGATAAATTATGAAAACAGAAATGACCAGCCATTATGTGCCTGAGATATAATGCATAAAAAATATAACAGCACCACCTATGAAATATACTTGCAAACAATTTTTTTAAAAAGCACCCAACTTAAATCTCATCAAGCATCTAGATCAGTTTACTGAAAATGTGGGGAGTATAAAGACATATTCCCAGATACATGCGGATCTAATTAGCAAAGCCCATAATGTAGGGGATTCTATAGTACAAATAATCCTGCTTCTTCAACAAATAAATGTAATAAAAAGGAAAGAAATCTTTAGATTAAAAGAGATTTAAGAGACATCAACTAAATGCAATGTGTGACTAACCTGATTTGGATCCTGATATTAACAAATCAGTGCTAAAAAAGTTATGAGATAGTTGAGAAAATCTGAACACTGGATATTTTATGATTTTCAGCAGTGGTGTGCTACATTCAGTCTGTACCAGCTCATGAGTGCCAACTGTGCACATCTCTACCCAACCCTGTATTTTATCTCTGTATTCGGTGTTGTCATGCCAGAGGCTTGAAATTAGCCATAGTAGGAGTACTTATACCACAGGAATTGGCAAACACTACTAATCAGAGTTTTTTCTTCTAGAGAGTCTGTTACTAAATATTTCCCAGGAAATCACTTACTTTAAAGGATTATTATTATTACTACTATCATCATCATCAAGGTAGATAATGATTTTGTAGTTGCATTTTCAAAAGAGTTCTTATCTTTTCAGATACATATTAAACTATTTATAGCTAAAATTGTATGATGTCTGGGATCTGCTTTAAAATAATCTTCAAAAGAGTAGAGCAAGAGAAGGTATGGGTATAAATGAAACAGTATTAGTCATATATTAATAAAGTTGAGGCTGCATGTTGAGCACATAGGGGTTCACTACTTTTCTCTGTGCCATTTGTTCATGTCTTCAAAATTCCGTAAGAAAACATTTAAAACAAAACCACAAAGGCCCTCCAACATGTGGTGTCTGGTGCCTTACTTGGCACTCCCTCACAAACACTTTTCATTGCAATTTTATTTGCAGTTCCCTAAACATGCATTTCCTTCCATGTCTTTACAAGTGGTTTCCACTATGCCTCAAATTCCTTTCCCTCCCCCATCCTACCCCACTGTTCATCTCATTAAGCTCCTATTCATCCATTGGATCTCAAAGTCACCTCAACTGGGATATAATATTGGATCCTGTGACTGTTCAGCATGCTGAGCATATCTCTAAATAATAACACAGTAGCTAGCACTTACATGTGTCAGTTTCAAATATTAGGGGCTTAATCCACACCACAATCCTATGAGGTAAGTGCAATTATTAGCTTCATTTTCCAGATAAGGAAACTTACAATGAAGTTAAATGACTGCCCCAGGGTAAATATTGGAGCAAAGATTCAAACCCAGTCTTGGCTCCAGAACTTAATCTCTTTAGCACAACACTATGTTCCCTTGACAATGCCGTGCTGCCTTCATTCCTTTGCCATGGGACCTACAGCCCCCTAATCTCTACTCATCTCTCCTCCCTATTAGACTAGAAATCCCCCCAAACAACACCTTGATAATACAGTTCCCCAAACATTAATGTTTACTAAGTATTGTGTAAATAACTATGCAGGTTTTCCTCTACACCAGTGGTTTTCAAACTATGTTCCTTCAAACCCTACAGGTAAGTCAGAAGTGGCACATGGGCCATCGGAATACGTGCCACCCTAGAGAAAAGATGACTGATCCTTAGGATACAAGTACAGAGCCTCAGAACCACCACCCCCTGATTAAGCAGTGCATGTTTTATGTACTGAACATGTGAAGTGAGTTTGAAGAAAGAGTCCCTCTACTAAACTAAAAGTTTAAAAATCATTGCCCTAGATCCAGCCAGTGTGCCTTCATTCTAACCATCTTCAGAAGGCAGGGGATCTCTTCTTGCTATGCTACTGAAAGTAAATTTTCCCAGTGTCCTGGAATGTTTACACTGTTTCTTTACATTTAAATTTTCTGAATATTCCTGAATTCTTATTCTAGATTTCTTATTCTAAATTGTAAAACCTATGGAATGGGAGAAGATATTTGCAAATGTCTTATGAGATAAAGGGCTAATATCCAAAATCTATAAAGAACTTATCAAACTCAACACCCTCCCAAAAAATAATCCAGTCAAGAAATGGACAGAAGACATGAACAGACATTTCTCCAAAGAAGACATACAAATGGCTAAAAGACACATGAAAAAACGCTCAACATCACTTGGCATCATGGAAATACAAATCAAAACCACAATAAGATACCACCTCACACCAGTCAGAATGGCTAAAATTAACAAGTCAGGAAACAGATATTGGCAAGGATGTGGAGAAACGGGAATGCTCTTACACTGTTGGTGTGAATGCAAACCTGTGCAACCACTCTGGGGCACAGGCACCCCAATATTTATAGCAGCAATGTCCACAATAGCCAAACTGTGGAAAGAGCCCAGATGTCCATTGACAGATGAATGGATAAAGAAGGGGTGATACACACACACACACACACACAGAAATATTACTCACCCATCAAAAAGAATGAAATCTTGCCATCTGCAATGACATGGATGGAACTAGAGGGTATCATACTAAGCAAAATAAGTCAGTCAGAGAAAGACAAATAAATGATTTTACTCATATGTGGAATTTAAGAAACAAAACAGATGAACATAGAGGAAGGGAAGGAAAAATAAGATGAAAATTGAGAAAGGCAAATCATCAGAGATGTTGAACTCTAGGAAACAGACAAAGGGTTGCTGGAGGGGAGAGGGATGGGGGAGAAGGGATAATTGGGTGATGGGCATTAAGGAGGGCACTTGATGTAATGAGCACTGGGTGTTACATGCAGCTGATGAGTCACTAAATTCTACCTCTGAAACTAACAACAACAACAGAAAACCCAAAAACAAAAAACAAAACAAAACCCTGAAAGCAATCACTAGTTAGCATTGAATAAAGTAAATGCTGCTTCTAAAACACAGAAATTAAAGGAAAGAAGGAAAATACCATTCATTCACGAAAAGAAGGAAGCATTGTGCAAACCTTGATTAAAATGATGAAACGATGTTTCAGTCAGATATAATTCTGGATCATTAATAGGGTAATTTCTCTGTTGAAAGATAAAACTCAGATTGTACCCAGAACCAAATTCCAACTATGGGCTACTTTTAAAAGTTACACATAAAATAAATGACACTAAAACAAACAAATAAAAAATTAGGAGAAGGAATTAAAACAACTAAGAATTGCTTTTGGCTCTCCAATAATTTACTCCCTATTCTTTGAGCTTAGCCTTGCACTCCTCTCTCTTCTGTCCAAAGGCTATCCCATGCTTTTACATCCAGGAAATGCTTACCTCCTCCAAGTAGGGCATGACATCCCACAGTGACATGTAGTGTGCTGTTACCACCGACTTATATATAGCCATAGGTATAGAATCTCGGTGGGGAGGCTTGGGAATCCCTGCAATGAAAAACAGGAGATTGGGCCATTTCGAGATCCTCCTCCCCAATCCCATTCAAGGGTCCACCCAAAACCACCAAGAATGAAGGTCTCAGTCAGTCACAGGACATGCTTTCCCAGTTCCAGGAAGAATCATAAGGTAGGCAATAAAGGAGTGGGATTCCTTTCATATCTATAGGCTCTGAGGCAGGATGCCCTGCTATCTGGGGAAAGGAGGTGGTACATCAATCCTACTGCTGGACCAGTAGTTCTCAACCCCGGTGGCTCAGTAGAATCTCTTAAAGTCCAATGGGAAAATACATATGCTCAGATTCTGCCCCTTCCTCCCCATTTCAACTAAGACATACTTTTCTAATAGCTCTGGGATGGGCCCGGCACCTCTGGCTTTTACAAGGTCTGCAGAGGATTCCAATGCCCAGCCAAGACTAAGCAACATGGCCCCAGATGCTGAGAACCTAGAGGGTGGGCCCTGTATTTTGTGCATATTTGAATCCCCAGTGCCTAATGATAAAATAAACTGGAACAAACTGGGTATCTCCCAAAAAGTACATCTTTATCTACTCCCTCAATCCCCTCTTCACAGGACAGAGACCAATTGAGAGGCTGAGTTATTATTCAGATTGAGATTGTTGCTAGATACCCAAAGAAGAGCTAAAAAACTCTTGATATGCAAGGTACTCAGGTGTATGTTCTCCGTTCTCTGTCAGCAGTGCCCCATAATCTGAAAAATATAAAGAAATTTGTCACTTTCCCCAAGAAAGCTCCAGCTTCAGCAAAGAAAGGCATGAGAGCTTAATACTGAGCAAAAGGATCCTTAATAACAGAAGCTTTGAAAGGAAAAATTTTTGGCATTAGATAAGAAAATACCACATCCCAATTAGTCCAAACCAGGAGACATCTGCCATACTTTGCAGGGCTTTCAAATGAAGGCAAATAACACCAATCCCTGGATATCTAATAAGTCCTGACTGAGAGCCCAGGGCTATTCTAATCCAGTGGTTTCTACTTTCTATTCAATTTCTTTTTTTTTATTATGTTAAGTTAGCCACCATATAGTACATCATTAGTTTTTGAGGTAGTGGTCAATGATTCATTAGTTGTGTATAACACCCAGTGGTTCATCACAACACATGCCATCCTTAATACCCATCACCCTACTACCCCTCCCCCAACACCCTCCCCTCTGAAACCCTCAGTTTGTTTCCCAGAGTCCATAGTTAAATTCCTTTCTTTCACCCTTGACTTTTCACCTTGTCTCTCAGTGTCATTAACCAATGCCCTAGTGTTATCAAGAGATCCAAAGTAACTGGTTTTACAGGAACTTCTAAGAATAAGGGTCTGCACAGTGGATAGGTAAGATTAAACTACCAAGGCCTCTGCCTGCAAAGTCCCAGACAGTCTAGATTCTAGTGCTGGATAAATTCTAGTACTTTCAAGAGGAATAAACATCAGACCTTCAATCCTCAGCATTTGTTAAAGGCAAAACAGATGAACAGTCCCAGAGATTGTTCCAAGAGACCCACTCTAGAAAGCTCCAGGCTCAAATGGTGAGGTGGCCTAGGTTGGAGACAACTCTAAGGGACAATTACTTGCCATAGCTTGTGATCATAGGGAGGTAATGGTCCAAAGATGCAGATCCACCCATGAAGCCGAAGTTGGTGCCACCATGGAACATGTAGAAGTTGAGGGAGAAACTAGCGTTGAACATTTCACGCACGTCTCTCATTAACACTGCACATAGGTAGGAAGAAAAGAGGGGGAGAAAATAAAGTTTGAGAGAATTAATAATAGCCATTTGTGGGATGTTCAAACTGCATGTATTAAACATTTGTTTATATATCTTAGTCTTAGTAAATAGATGTCCAGCTCAGTGTTTCTGGAGCACTTAATAATTTTTCAGTAAATTCTTAGTAACTTCTTTAGTAACCTAAAATCGTGGTACCAGGAACATTTACCTTCAAACCACATTTTAATGATCTTCATCAACTCTCCTGGAAGGATGTGGCAGATAGTCTGGGAGCAGAGAACACTACTTCCACCCAACACACTTTCATTGAATTGCCCCATCTGTTAGAACAACTCACTCTAATTGCTTTAATAGCCTCAACAAAATATAATCAGAGTGGAAACACTGCTAAAATTTCAGTTTCAATTACAATCACCTCTGGGGTGCTTATTCAGTTTTGTCCTTTAAATCTAGTACTCTAAGTACTCTAACCGGCAGGGGAAAAGAAAAAAAACAGGCCAGTGCCATTTCTGTTATCTATTCTCCTGAGAAAGGATCTAAGAAGTACTCACAATGTGAATCCACAGAATGGGGGGAAGTGCCCCATCCGTCCAAAGAGCTTGCTGTATACACCATCATCAGTACGGGGCTACGACCCTGAGAAAAATGAAGTGTCAATTTAGTAAAGTTTGGTACAGTTTAGAAGCTCTGAATTGCTTAGGAGGAAACTGTAAGGTCTAGTTCTCACAAACCCCCTTTACAAATCAGAGCATCCCCTCACTGCTCACAAACCCCGAGTTCTACTCTCCATCCTCAGATAATTTCCCTGGTCTTGTTATTCCTCTTGGGGTTTCAATGGACTTCTCCTTCAGGTTTTGGTAAAATCAACTGTCATTGCCACATTTTCCTTCCTGGAACAATAGAATCTCTTCATTCCCTTCAGTGACCAGATTAGAGGTCTAGTGAAGAAGCGCCTGGCCCAGGGGAAGCATTAAAAATATTCAACAAATGAATGCTAAAAATGTTGAATCCCATTAAATAAGAATCGCTGAATCCCAGAATTGTGTTTTGTTTTTATTCAAGTATAATTAACATACAGTGTTCTATTAATTTCAGATGTACAATATAATGATCAACATTATATAATGTATAAAATCAACATTATATAAGGTATATAATAATTCTATACATTTCTCACTGCTCATCCTGTATGCTTAATTAGAAACCCCAAGTAACCCAACTGAAATTGTTGAATTGTTATATTCTTTTGATGAACTGACCCCTTTGTCATCCTATAAAGACTTTCCCTGACTGTGGATACAGAGTTTGTCTTAGTCTATTTTGTCTGCTATAAGTGTAGCTACCCCCTCTGATTTGTTTTTTTTTGTTTGTTTGTTTGTTTGTTTTGGCTTTTGTTTGCAAGGAATATCTTTTTCCATCCCTTCAATTTCAGTGTGTGTGTGTCCTCAAAGCTGAGGTGAGTCTCTTGTAGCCAACAGATGGTTAGATCTGGATGTTAGTGATTTTCTGTTTGTTTTATAATTCCTCTGTTCCTCTCTTGATCTCCTCCTTTGTAGTTTGATGATTTTTTCTGTACTGGTATGCTTTGATTCCTTTCTCTTTATCTTTTGTATACTACAGGATTTTGTTTTGAGGTTACCGGGAGGCTTACGTAAAACATATGATATTGATAGCAGTCTATTCTACCAATAACAGGTTAACTTCAAACATATACTCTACATTTTTAACCCTCTCCTTACCTTTTATATTATGATGTCGCAATGTACCTCTTTTCACCTAGTGTATCATTAAAAAATTATTGTAGTTATAATTATTTTTAATACTTTTGTCTTTTAACCTTCATACTAGAGTTAAAAGTGACTTACCCATGACCTTTTTCTCTAAATTTAACTATACTTTTACCTTTACAATGAGTTTTATACTTTCATATGTCTTCTTGTTACAAATTAGCTTTTTCTGTTACTAATTAACTTACTATTTCTTTCAGCTTAAAGAACTCCTCTTAACATTTTTTGTGAGGCTAGTCTGTTGTGATGAACTCCTTTAGCTTTATCTGTCTGGTAAACTCCACTGCTCCTTCAATTCTGAAGGACTCCTTCACTGGGTAGTTGTTGTTTTGTTTCTTTTGGCACTTTGAATATATCACCACATTCCCTTTTGGCCTACAAGACTTCTGCTGAAAAATCTGTGATAGCCAAAAGGAGGGGGCAGAGTTAAGATGGCAGAGTAATAGGGGGACCCTGAACTTGCCTTGCCCTTCAAATACAGCTAGATCAACATTCAACTATTTTGAACAACTAGGAAGATGATCTGAGGATTAAGGATCATCTGCACAGTTGGAGAGAGAGAACATGGCAGATGCAAGGTTTGGAACCATGAATTGGGGGAGAGGAAAGCAGCACAGCCACAAAGGGAAGGGAATCCTTTTCATGGAGAAAACTCAGGAAGAGAAAGAAAGTGGGAAAGAACCCAGCAGGTAGGGACTGCACAATAAGCCTCGGTGAGGAGATCCCCTGGGTCACACAGTGAGAGATCATTCCCCTTCCCAGAGGGCATTTGGAAGAACATATTTTGCCTTTCCAAGGACAAATGGCCAGCCAGGAGCCATTGAGCGGTGCTCAACAGCAGGGTCAGAGGTGCGTGCAGAGGGCAGAAAGCCTCTTAAGTTTTTTGCTGTGAGTCACAATAAGTTTAAACCTCTGTGTGCAAATCGAGTGGCTGCTTTTCTTCAACAGAACTAAGCAGAAAGCAGAGACAGGAGCAGATTGCAGATAACCTGGCCACCGCTTTTTGCTGTCTGCCACAATAGATTCAAACCTCTGCAATGGCTTCTCTGGGACAGAAAGGAGTAGGGGACTGAATCAAGTGCAGATAGCCAATAAATTGGTTTCAGCTTTTTGCTGAGCATTACAATAAACTCTAGCCCCTGAGTGCATACTGTGCAATGGCTTTTCAGGGATAGGATGGTGATGGGCACACCCTGAGCCTCTCTTCAGAGGGACAGGAGTGAGCCCACACCTTACCAGGACCTTTAAAACTTGGAGTTTTGAATCCCAGCCACCGACCAGAGATAAAATCCAGATCTGTGGCTCCAGACATGCTGATGGCCCGGGCACAGTCAAGTTAAAGAAAAGGAACTGATGAAAGCCTGGGACTTTGGGAGATTCTTTGTTTTCTAACAGGGCCTCCTGAACAGCAGTAGTCATGAGTTCTGCTCCCAGGGACAAGACGGTGGGGTGATGCCATAGTCTTACTCCTCCACACCCCTCTCTCCCACCCACCAGCACAATTGGACTTCAGAAAGAAACAGCATCTCCAGTGGAGGCTGGAATCCCCTACACTAAGACCCCCCCCGCCCCGCCGGCACCTGGCAGGAGCATCTTTACAAGGGCAAAGATTCACCCCAAAAGAAAGAACAGGAGGTAATACTCACTGCAAGGGATTTAATCAATATGGAGATAAGTAAAATGTCTGAACTACACCTTAAAACAATTATAAAGATGCTAGCTGGGCTTGAAAAAAGCATAGAAGACACTAGAGAACCCTTACTGTAGAAATAAAAGAACTAAAATCTAATCAGGCTGAAATAAAAAATGCTATTACTTGATGGAGTCACAGATGGAGGCTTTAACAGCCTCAGGATAAATAAAGGAGAAAAGAGAGTCAGTGATATAGAAGACAAAATGATGGAAAATAAGGAAGCTGAAAAGAAGAGAAAAAGACAACTACCAGGGGGAGGAGCAAGATGGTGGAGGAGTAGGAGACCTAACTTTCATCTGGTCTCAGGAATTCAGCTGAATAGGGATCAAACCATTCTGAACACCTACGAACTCAACAGGAGATCGAAGAAAAGAATAGCAGCAACTCTCTGAACAGAAAAGCGATCACTTTCTGGAAGGTAGGATGTGCAGAGAAGTGAATCCGAGGTGATATTTGGGAAGACAGACGGCGGGGGAGGGGGCCTCCATCGGCTGCTTCTGGAAAGTGATAGAGCCCTGGAGCACAAAACTGGAACTTTTAGAAGTCAGCTCTGCTGAGGGACGTCACTCCAGTGGCTAAGCGGGGGCTGGAACCCTTGCTGGGACAGCGTGGTCTCAGGACCCTCGGGGTTACAGAAAGACCAGGGAGGCCTGAGTGCGGCAGAGCTCCCAGGTATCGGAGCCGGGAAGCTGACAGCAGAGATGGAGCAGAGGAGCGGGCTCCCAGCTCGGGGTTGCCATAAACCGTGATCCGCAGCACAGTCGGGCCACTGCTCCTCCAGCAGGGACCCAACAAGCAGCAGATCCATGGAGACTCTCCTTCCTCCCCCGGGAAGAGCAGCGCAGGAGTGCACCGCAGGGATCCGCTGGGTTTGGAGACTCCACACAGGGTCGTGTGCCAGAGACAGAAATGCTCTGTCACAGGCCAGGTGAGCACGGAGTGCGGCCGGAGACTGGGGAGACAGGAGTAATTGACTGCTTTTCTCTGGGGGCTCACTGAGGAGTGGGACCCCGGGTTCTCAGCTCCTCTGGGGCGGAGATTGGGAGGCCGCCATTTTCACTCTCCTCCCCCAAAGGTGTACGGAAAGCTTGCAGGGAACAAAAGCTCCCAAGCGCAAACCCAAGCAGATTACTTAGCCCGGACCAGCAAGGGCGGGACAATTCCGCCTCCGGCAAAGACAGTGAGAATCACTGCAACAGGCCCCTCCCCCAGAAGATCAGCAAGAACATCCAGCCAAGACCAAGTTTACTGATCAATGAGAATGGCAGAACCCCAGCACTAGGGGATTACAGCACACAGAATTCATGGCTTTTTTTCCCCATGAATCTTTAGTCTTTCAAAGTTAATTTTTTTAATTTTCTATTTGTTTTCGAATTTTTCTTTTTCCTTTTTTCAACCAACATCTTATCAATCCCTTTTTAAAAAATCTTTTTTATTTTTCATTTTTAGAGTCACATTCTATCCCTTTGTTGTACTTAACCTTGTTTTTGGTATATATATATAAGTTGTTCTCTCTTTAAAATTTTGGGATACAGTTTCTTCTAACAGACCAAAATATACCTTAAATCTCTTGTGTATGGCTTTGTTCTAGTCTCCTGCCTGATCACGTTCTCTTCCCCCCCCCTTTTTTTAAATCCTCTTCTTTCTTTTTTCAACCAACTTCTTATCAATTCTTTATATCTTTATATAAAATCTTTTATAATTTTCATCTTTATAGTCCTATTCTATCCCTTCATCATATTTACCCTTATTTTTGTACATATATAAGTTTTTCTTTCTTTAAAATTTTGGGAGCCACTTTCGTCTAACAGACCAAAATATGCCCAAAATCTAGTGTGTGGCACTGATCTATTCACCAGCCC